TCTGGGTAGGGAGTGAGTATTCTCACTTCAGCCATTCTTATGGCCTTTTTGTACCATTTCTCCAGGTACTCTTCTTGCTCCCCTGCCTTCGCGGGGTCGCTATCCAATGGAGATCTCTCCTTTGGGGGGTTTTTGCTGGGGGAAATCTTCCTCGCAGCATTTCTTTGGTTTCAGGCGAATTTGCCTGAAGTTGTATTTGTATTCTCTCATTGTTTTGAGAGGGTGTGATTGAGTTACCTCTCTGTTCAAGAGGTCCATCATAAGTGGATGTTTGGCCGAACCTTTGGTACGTGCCAATTCTCCTCCTAATCTCTGAACGATGCCTTCTTTCGGCATCGTCTTCTCCTATCCTTGGGAGAAGGATCTCCTTAGCGTCTCTGTCGAGTCGCTGATGATATTCCAGTGTGCTTTCACTGGTGGTTCTTTTCGTGAATTTTTCACGAGTTCTATTTATGTCCTGGACCGTGGTCCAGGGGTGTTTATTTGTTTCCTCACCTTTTTGTGAGAAATTTATTTCCTTCAGCAAGTCTGTTTGTTTGCTGATTTTTTCAGTCAACACATCTATTGCGTTGGCCATTCTTTCTAGAGTTATCTCTAGACGAGCCGTACTATTATGGTTCGTTTCCTCGATCTTTTTTTGGATCGAGTTTATCGCATTTATTATGCACGATTCCTGGTTTTCCAGGAGGAAGTTTGGTTGGGCGAGCAGAGACTCTCCCCAGTTGACATTTCCGCTCCTGAATGGGTTCTTGGAGTGAACACTCCACACTCGCTTTGTTTAGGCAAGGCCGTTGCAGAGGGTGCTTCCCTTTCATAGAGGGGTCTGTTCGCTGGTTTTTCCTTACTTTTATGTAAGGCTTCCTCAGCGAACTCCCTCATTTCAGTTCGCCTCCTTCATTATCTCAGAGACCTCCTCTGAGGTTGGTGACCTTGCCTTGTCTGGCATGGTGTGTGGGAGTGTAAACTGCGGAAGTTCTTTTGGAGCTTCCGCACTCTGGGAGATCCTGCTCTCAGGGCGTATCTTCGTGCCTTCTTGGGCTTTTAGCCTGAGAAGAAGTTGGTCTTCACTTTCCGTCCTCCATTCAGACGGAACCTGGAACAAGTCCAGTAGTTTTTCGGATAGCCGATGTGGGGGCTCTTCCCTTTGTTTCCCTTTGTCTGCCTTTGGGGCTTGACTTGGGGACATGAGGGGGGACTCCAGGGGATAGTGGGGCCCTGGAGTTTCCTGCGACTCTATCCGATCAGCTTTTTGGGCTGATCGTTCGGTGCTTACATGTTTTTCGCGCAAGTCGATCACCTCATGTGGAGGTGAGGGATCTTCCCCAGCTTGGGTTAGATCGGGATGTCATGGAGTTCTGGGGGTATTTGGCCCCACACTGTCAGGGCACACCTGCCTGACCCGGGTCCACCTGGACCCACCCAGCCACACCACACCCGCTCCCTGCTGTCTATCCCCCTCCCCCCTCCTTCCTCCCTCTCCTCCCCCTTTCTTTATTTCTTTCTTTCTTCACTTCTTTCTTCTCATCTTCCTCTTCCTGTTTATTTCTTTCTATCTACACGGACCACCTTCCTTTGTATCGATGTACCATTGACCCATCCGGCCCACACACCCCGGACGGCTTCCCGCTGTGCCCAGCACGCGTGCATGCAGCGGACGCTCTCGGGATCCCCCACAGGGACACCCGGATGCCTGCGGCTGCCTCCGAGGATGACGTGGCACTCGTCATGTGACTCAAGCCGCATGTACATAAATGTACCTGAAGTGGGAACTGAAGAAGTAACCTTCTTCTCACATTCTCCACTTCAGACTAAGTGGCCAGGGACCACTGTCCCGGATCGGGCCCGCCAGTACGCACGCCTGCTCCACACCCTGCGACGGCTTCAGTGCCGGACATTACCCCCGGGCCCTCTCGACCCCGGACGCGTCCCTGACACACACTTACTCCACGTAAGTTTCTAAAACCTTCAGGGACCAGCCCTGAGGTGGTTGCTAATGCCGGATCATGTTGATCCTCATCGTCATCTGACGACGGCTTTTGGTTTGAATCTCCCATCATGGGAGATTGCGGTTTCTTAATAAACTGCTCGTTTCTTTTTAGTGTCGGTGCAGATGCGACTTTGCCCTTGTGGGCATGTTTAGGTGCCATACGTGCTACTGAGTCAGAAGTTAAGATTATGTAGTTGTTGTGGGTTGTGTTGTAAAACACACCTCATACACTTAAAAAAGTGTGAGGTCTTTGGGTAGCTCAGCACACAAAGCCGTAAGTGATACAAGAATGTGTATTTTATGGTGGTGTGTAAGCAGTTACCTGGAGGTTCCCACTTACCCACGTGACTATATGTATCTAATTTACATATGACTCGGGGTTTGGGGCTATTGCCCTGACACCACGTCACCTCCGACAGGGGTCCGGAGTTTGTCTCTCATTTTTTCCGTTCACTTGGTAAGGCCCTCAACATCCACCTCCACTTCACCTCCAGTTATCATCTGGAAGGAGACGGTCAGACCGAACAGATGAACCGGATGCTCGAGCAGTACCTGCACATCTACAGTAACTACCAGCAGGACAATTGGTCCAAACTCCTACCTCTTTGCAGAGTTCGCATACAACAATGCTCCGAATGCCACCACAGGCATCTCTCCATTCTTTGCCAACAAAGGCTACCATCTGAACATCACCATTCACCTGGAGCAAGACCTAACATCAGTACATGCCCAGGAGTACTCTGTAGATCTCGACTCCCTCCATCACTTCCTTTGCAAGGAAATGCACCTCGCTCAGATCTGTTATCAGGGCCTGGCAGACTCCTGTCGGAGTCCTGCCCCAGCTTTCAAGGTAGGGACCTCGGTCTATGTAAAGGCCAAGTACTTCCGCTCCACCTGACCTTCCAAAAAGCTCTCCAAGAAAAACCTCGGCCCATTCAAGATCATTGCCCACATTGGAACCCACTCCCTCACTCTCCACCTGCTGGAAAACATGTGAGCCATTCACCCAGTATTCCATGTCTTGCAGATCGAACCCTCCGTCCTGAATGTCATTCCGAACCGCCACCAGCCACCTCCACCTCCCATAGAAATCGAAGGCAAGATGGAGTTCGAGATCGAAGAGATACTCGACTCCAAGATTGACCGACGTAGATGCAACAAGTTGCTCTACCTGATCAAGTGGCTAGGCTATAAAGGGACTGACGAGGAGACACAATGGCTCCTTGCCGGCAAACTCGATCATGCCTCTGACCTCGTCGAAGCGTTCCACTCTCGGTACCCAGATAAGCCTGGACCCGAAGCTCCTTAGGAACCCCGACTCCCCTTCCATCTCTCCCTTTCTCTCCACTCCTCACTTCCATTTTCTTTTTTTCTTTTCTGTAAGTACAGCTCCCCTCACCTTACTAATTCTGGGCCTTCAAGGGTTCAGGCCTAAGAAGGGGATACTGTCATATCCATCCCTGGCCATCGACTTCCACTCCCTCCGATCCCTCCGCTCTACCTCCGCTCCTTCTTCACTAACCTTGGAGCTCCCATATTCCGCAATCACCTCAGTACCCCTCAATGGTCACCATCCCCTCTTTTCAATATATTACCTATGCCTCCCTAAGTATGGAGCCCCGAAGGCTTCCGGACAGCTCCGACGTCTGCTAGCGCACTCCTGCCTCCACTGGGCAATACACTCGCTTGCCCTGCAAGCCCACCTTTGGGCCTATCCCTCCTTTCCGTTTCTGGGTTATCGCCTACCATTCCACTAACCCCATAACCCAACTTGTCGGTAATATTCAATCAGCTAATGTTTAAACCCCGTTAGCTCCGCTCCACTCAGCTCCACCATTTGCGGGCCCACCCTCGTTGTAACTATATATACTCAACTTGTACATAGGTTACACTTCAGTAATAAAATCGACTGGAGTTTACCCCCCTTCAGTTCTGGTTGCCAGTTTAGTAAGTTAGGGCATGGACGTGTTACTTGGCACAGCACTCCTGGCATAAGTTGCTGAGGCTGAAGCCGTCCGCCACAGAGACATTCCCTCGTCTCAACCTGGTCTCTGACACTTTCTCTGTTTGTGTTTCGCAGTTGATTTGAATGGCTGTGGCATTTGATGTTTGTGTGGGGCCACAGTTCGCTTCCTGGTATTCATGCATCGGGTTCTCTCACACACATGGCAATCAGTAAAATTGTGACCATTCTCCACTGCATCGAAAAGTCACAGTGATCAAATATACAAAGGTGTACAGCATCACAAGGTGTTTAGGTCGCTCACGAGAGTCCATGCAAGAAATCAGTCATCTGCAGGTAATCCTAGGTTTTGAGTGGGGGGGAATGGGCTGGTGCAAATGCACATGAAGGAGTCGTCATCCATACCATGGCTTCTATCATTGAACCCCTGATGCCCTTATGTGGCTGACCATATGGGATTTCATCGGTGTCTCTGATATGAAGTATGCCGTTGTTTGCCTAATTGAGAGGGTCTGGAGCTCCATCATTGGAACCCAGGGAGACATAGATGGCTTATATACTTCAAGCCAGGGGCACATTCTTCCATGCATCTCCACCCTTGCACGACAGTCAACAGTCTCATATGTTTGTTCAAATGGAGCCACAAAATCGTGGTCTTTGTCATTGCCACATCGTTTTGGTGAGATTGAGTTGGTAATACATTGGTCTGACTGACTAGGGTGTCTGCATAGAATCCGTCGGAGATGAAGGGATCACGGAGGTAGTAGTGGTGTGCATTCTCTGGTGAGAATGACTCATTCCTGAGGCATGGAACCTTAGTGATCGTGCACAATAGGTAGTGCGAGAAAGTGGCTCTCGTTGATAAGTGAACAGGCCCCCCAAAAGGGAGGCTGTGCTTGGATTGTGCTGTTATTTGGTTATGTCACCTCTCTGTTGTACCCATCCAAAGACATATCTTAGCGAGTGAAAAGAGTGGCGGGTTATGCCGCATCAGGCGGTGATCACCAGTTATATTGTTATGTTGCATACAAGTAATCAAATTTGAATTGGCAACGAAAATGGCCGATCATTCCAACCCTGTTACGAAGAACGACCCTGGGTTGGAATGCATGCCCCAAGAGTTTGGAGCTTTCGTCAATCTGGTTCATGATGCCCTCAAGGAGTTTCGACCTCCCAGTGGGTCGATCTTGCAACTCCTCATGCAAACAGGGATTCGATGCCTGGAGGAAGGGCACGAGGTCAGACATTCACCTGTGCCCATTCGCATCGCCCCCAACATTCAAACGGAAAATAGCTAGAGACATCTTCCCCTTGATTACCTCCTCTATTCTCGTAGTTCGCGCCCATTGGGCGATGGACCAGCACTCCCCGGGCGCGGCAACAGACCTCATGCCACTGGACATTTCTCCGCACCATCATGGGGACAGGCGGACAGTCCCGTACTGGTCGAGCAAGATACCAGAACGCCTGGTTGCATTACGTGAGCGGCTACCTCGTTGTCTTGAGATCACTTCCCAGTCCTCTCCCCCTGGTAACACGGCTACCACCGCACGAGAGCTCATCGACCGCGCATCACGGTTAGAAACCACGTCCCAGCGGCTCCGCATGATGAGTCACATCTACTATTGTGCCGCCGCTCTGAAGCAGATGAGCGAGTTAGGACCCGAGGAGTTTTTTGTGAGTGCGGTCGAGCTCGTCGCTTCTTCCCTTTACCTGACGATCAGGCTTTACATCATAGGAGGAGTGTCTGCACGCTTCCAATGAACGGTAAGCCATTTTATCCTACGTAGGCCACGCTGACGATCCGGCAGTTACTCCTTTGCCAGCCCCTTCATTATGACACTCCTAATATCGCCACTTGTCCTACTCTTCGATACCATTCTCACCAGCCCATCAATTCTCCCTTCCATCACCGCCATGGTGTCGCATGCTGTCTTGCACGGGGGCCTCAGGCAATCGAACGGCCCTCGGAAGGTGCTCGAAAATGCCCTGTTTAATCTCATATTTTCCGTTTCGCGGGCAGGCCAGATTTCGCAACACGACCTTGACAGATTCCACGCCGCGTGGACCATGGTTCTGCCATGTATCCGCGCCATTGGCCCAGACCCCAGGGACGTCGGGACTGGATCCGCTCCACCCTTCTCAGAGCAAGTCTCGGGTCTGCATCCCTCCACAGCTCAATCCCCCGCAGCTGCCGAAATCTCAGGCTTTGCCCCAACCCCGACAGTTGCCCACTCCCCCATCACCACACCATCGACCATTTGCCCTCAGTCGGCCCCCAACGCTCCGGATGATAGGGATGAAGAGTTTACTCTTGGTCCCAAGGGGCCCCAACAAAACTCGCCCTTCACCCAGGTGCCCTCATCCGCTGGTCAGAAACGCGGTCGTGGAGAACGATACGACCGTCAACTAGGGAACAGGAAACGCGCGCGGAAACGGGTTACATCGGGAGCTGGACACATCCAAGAAGTTTACGAGACCGAAGGAACGGTAGCCTCTATATCTATATATTCTTTAGAAACCTGCAAGACGTGGCCCCACGTCACCAGTGTAGACAAAACGCTGGACGTCCCAGAGCTCAATCCAGATGCGAGGCCAAAGGTAGGTTCAGTATACGTTCGAAGCCAAACGACGCTGACAGCTTCTCCACAGCTCCTCCATTCCGTAGACTTGCCTGTCATCTTTGTCGATGAAGGGCAAACTTCCCGGATGGAGACCTTCTTCTTTCCGTATTGCGAACATTCTGTGAGTCGCTTCTCACCCCTCCCACACTGACAACTAACCCCATTGCAGCCCTCCCTACAGAAGTTGAGGCACTTCTTGGAATCGCCCCAGCATGATTCCAAGTATTGGAAGCCTGTTTTGATGACAACACAGCAAGCGTTAGCGATGGACGTACAGCGGTTCCAGGGTATGGTCAACGACGGTACCCCGATCGTCTTGGTGGACCGACTAGGGCAGGTCCCGTTTCTCGCACATAGCTTCATTAATTTTCAGTCCAAGGTTCAGTGTCTCGGCAAGTTTCGTCTCTCACTCTCCCACCCCCGCCCACCGACCTATTTTTAGATTCTGACCATATTCCATCGACCGACCACCCCCGGATCCTACAAATGACCGCGGGTGCTTTGAACGAGATATATGATTGGCAACGATCCAGGCCATTGATCTTTACCCAGCCCACCACTGGTTGCTGGCAGCCGTTAGAGAAGTATGTTTGTTCGTTTTCTCAACCACGTGTCTCACATCATTACAGGCTCCTTAATACTCGTGAGGTGGCACTGGCACTGGCAGATTTTCCTCGAGACCGCGTCCCTGACCAAAGCTGGCGATATCCGATTATTGCAGCCGCTGGCTCTATACACCCCCCTCAGTGTCCAAGCGGCGTTGGCACTTGCATTCACTGTGCTAGTGGTTGTGCTGTTTTCTTTATTCCGATCCTAAAAGAAGACCAATTTATCATGAGCTATTTCAACGGCACGGACGCGCCCCACAACCTGGATTTTTCATACCTCTACGAGGCACCCTATCGTTTTGGCTCTTTTGTTCTCTCACCTGGCCAAACGGTGTAAGTAATCAGGTTGTCTGCTAAGTTTCACTTGATGCCTCTATCCCCAGGGTCCTCCCTCCTGGCCAAGTCTATGCCTACGCAGCATTGCTTTCTCGAGACGCAAACAACGTATTTATCCCCGGATGTATCATGGAGTGCTGGGACTTTCTTGCTGCTGGATGCATGAAGCGATCGTGTTTCACGAGCTGGTTGCGTCGCAACTCGGCTCACCAACCCAAGAGCGAAGAAGCCTGGAATTCTGCCTTCAAAGTGTCCTTGATGGCCATGGTGTCGAATGCGGCGCGTGCCATATCGGCTCCGCACGGACAGCCCATCCACTCCCCAGACATTGCCAACCTTTTCTCATTGGCAACCATGGCCATGGAGTTCATTGGGGATCAGCCACGCTTTTCCGAAATGACCAAATCATTGAAGCGTTATTGTGCACAGCGAGGACCGGACTCTTGTTCCCAATTCCTCAAAGAATTTTCACGCATCAAAAACTGCCATGAAGGCGACCCTGAAGTGTGAAATATCAGAAGCCCTTCAAATATTTATTCTTAACAGTGATCCCCACCAAGTTGTTGTGGTCCTGCATATCTTTTTCTTTTGCTGGAACTTTCGCAATACAAATGTATGTATTTGGGGTTTGTTAAACATGAGTTCCCAGTGGGGTTTGTGCAGATCTGCCACCGTGAGGAAATGCTTTATGGACTGGATGTTTTGTCACTGTGAGACAGGGGGTCAGTTGTGGCCCCACATTATAGGGGAAAACAGTGTCAGGGTTCCATCACCTATCTATCTAATCACAGTAGGTATTATGAATCATAATACTTGTGCCATGGCGATTTTTTGGTATCATAAAAAAGAGAAAAATCACACCTTATGGAAGTCCAGTAAATGGTTTAGGAGTTATGGCCAATTCACAGTCATGCCCTAGTCATGCCCTATCATGCCATTAGCCAAGTACTTTCCAGTTCTTAATATTATGAAATATAAATGAGTGTCCAAAGGCTGTATGGATCTCCTCTACAAGATGCAAGTGAATAGCTGCCATGGTTACTGAGTTATTGAGGAAAGAAAGTTGTGCCCTGAGTTTCAGTGTTTGAGCTCAAGTTGTGAATCAATTCATTTGGGGTGTATAGGATATCAAAAGATTGGTATTGAAAATCTAACTCTGGCCCAACTCTGAGTCTGGTGCCATGCATGTTGTTCACCCCTATCCTCCCTGATAACTCCCCTGCTCACCCCCCACTTGCCCCTAGGCTCCTGTGTGCTTGGCTGACTCCCCCACAGCTGCACTGTAAGGTCAGTTGGGGTTCTGACCTGGGTGACTCCTCAGTCCTCTGGCTGTCGAGATCTAGGCTGTATTGAGCTTATGATTTGACAAGTGGGTTGAGGGTAAAGAGTGCAGAACCCTTTACCCGAGCCTGAGCCATACATATTTAAATACAGTTGTTTTACATTGTATACAACAAGAATAAAGAGGAATAAACAAAGAATAAAGTGATGTGTGCTGTGAAGAAAGTGTGCACAGCATGCATCTGTCAGGGATGCATCCAGGGTAGATGTCATATCCATACATACCTGATCCCGATCCGACTCCCAGACCCCCATCTTCACCACCTCTGGAGTCCTACCCTACTGCCGTTGTAACGGGTCTATCAATCTAGACTCGTGGCTCAGGTCTAGGGGGGGTAGGTCTCTCTCTATCTCTCAGGTAGATGTGGGTCCTGCGAGTACGGTGCTGATACTCTGTCTAACCTCTAACTAACTGTCTGTACAGTTGTCATGGAAGAGTCCGATACAAATATAAAAGGAAAGTCACATGCGTGAATGAATGAAAACAGTAAAGAAAATAAAGAAAATGTCATATCTCCTCAACCACTCCACCAAATCCAACGATCTTGGACTCGTCAGAACCACCTCCACAGTATCTACAACTCCTACTATTACCACGACTCACCAATCCTAGTCCCTGATGCAGTAGGGGGTGAAATGTGTGATAAGGGTTGGTTTGACCTGCACGGACTTGTCCCCACAACACCGTCCGTTCCGATATTCACCTTCAGACCTGACACCACTCCTCCTCTTACCCCTCATGCCACCTCCACCCTTCTGTCCTTCTCCTACCCTATCTCCATCCGCTCTGATACTCACCTCAGACCAAATATCACTCCTCTCACCACCCTCCTCCTCTTACTCCTCCTCTTACTCCTCACGACACCTCCACCTGTCAGGGCACATACCCTGACTTAGCCCAGACCCGGACCCATGTCCGGACCCGCTCCACTTCCCGCGCACTTCCTGTGCCGCATGCTCCGCATGCCGCATGATCCGACCCCGGATCCCACCTCATGTGACTTCCGGGTACCCCCGGAAGTTTTCGCCATATTGGGGCCACTGTGGGAAAGTGAGAAGTTAACCTTCTTCTCACTTTCTTACCCACAGTAGGCAAGTGTATCTACTTGCCCCTTTGTTTATATCACTTTCTTACTGTCATGGCCGTGCATTCCGGCCTGTTAGCCGCCCGTCCCGATGCCGCCCGAGCCCATTCCTGCTATGTGAGCATGAGCACGAGCCCTGACCTCAGCTCTATCCTCCCTGAGGACTCCCTGCTCACTCCCCCACTTGCCCCTAGGCTCCCCCACACTTGGCCGACTCCCCTGCTGCTGCACCAACCTCCCCACCCTGAGTCCGCCTCCGGCACCGTGCCCAGCGCAACTCCCCTACCCCACCCACTTGGCCCCTACAGGGCCGCTATCATCCCTGTGCCCGACTCCGGCCCAACTCCGAGTCCAGCGCTGCTACGATACCATCACCGCTATCGTGGCCCTATGCTCTTTCCTTTATTTATCTGTTATTGTTTGTTTTGACCCTCGGTCATTGCTGGCCGCTATGCGGCCAACCCTGCTCCTTATTCTTGTTTGCTTCCGGACCCTTCGGCCTCCAGCCCGGGTCCGCTTCCATTCATTTCTTCCTCCTATATATATCCTGTATGATACTTTATTGTACCTTAGCTCTAATATCGATGTGACCACAACCCCTAAGTCCTGACCCCAACAAGGCAACCCCAGTAAGTCTGAAATGAGGGCCAAGAGACAGCTAGGGGGCACAGCACTCCCTTTAGAGTTGCTGAGGCCAAATGCCCTACCCTCGGGCCTTGTCTGAGGCATCGCAGCCATCGTGGCCAATAGCAGCCTGCATTGGCAACCTTCGGTGCCGACTCCGGATCAGTGTCTAACACTCACCCACAGTAGCATTGTGCCCTGAGATGGGCTGTTACAGGTCAGGCTCTGGGTTATAGAGAGAGGGGTCATGGGGACCCGGGGTCCATCCCCTGACACCACCCCTCCATCACTCTCCTACCCTTCTCCTGTCTGCTCCGATACTCACCTTCAGACCTGACACCTTTCCTCTCCTCCACTCCTCTCCCTGTTCCTCTCTTCTCTCTCCTTCCTCTGACCCTCTCCCGCCAACCCTCCACCAAGTTACAACCTTCCACTGATGTCCCTTACCCTGTACTTGGACACCGCTTGTACCTTCACTCCGAGATTTCCATCATAGTTCCGACCTCAGACTTTGACTCCACCTCAGCTTAAGTCCATTGCATTGGTGACCTCATACTACGTAAACACCATTGCCAACTCCATAACCTCCAAGCTCCACGGATCATACTTGGCACTTTTGCCACCTGTAATGTATCTTTCGCATTTTCCCCTCATCCTTATTTGGACTGCTGCTTCTTCCCATTCTAGCCAGTTAGTCATCATCCCACTTCACCTCATCCTCCTGCCCCTCTGGGCTTTGCCCTCCCTATCTCCTTTCAGATGTACCACAGGTTCTGATCTATGACCTTCGGTACTGCTCCGCTTTCGTCTTCCCTTTGTCCCGTTCAGATGCCTTTGTTCCAATTCGGACCCTCCTTGTTTCCTCGTGCTTTCACCCTCTCCATTATATACCAGCACTTGTGCATACTCGTTTTAGGCCCTTAGTCTAAAATCGACCTGAAATGACCCCTAGAGACTTCCTGCTTGCTGCCTCTGAAATTAAGGACCAAATGGACAAACAGCAATGGCACAGCACTCCGCATGAGTTGCTGAGGCCAAGTGTTAGAACTGGGCAAGGGCGGATGATTCCGGAGGGGAACCAGAGACTTAGCAAGGAGGGACCTTGGCCTCAGCGACTCAAGTGGAGCGCTGTGCCATTGCTGTTTGTCCATTTGGTCGTTAATTTCGTAGGAGGTGAGCAGGAAGTCTCTAGGGGGCATTTCAGGTCGATTTCAGACTAAGGGCTAAAACGAGTATGTACAAGTGCCGATATATATAATGGGGAGGGCAAAAGCACAGGGAAACAAAGGGGGTCCGAATCAGAACAAAGGCGTCCGAATGGGAACAAAGGGATGACAGAAGCAGAGTGGTACTGAAGGTCATAGGGAAGAACCTGTGGTACATACGTCCAAAAGGAGGTAAGGAGGGCAAAGCCCAGAGGGGCAGGAGGATGAGGGGAAGTGGGGATGATGACTAACTGGCTAGAATGGGAAGAAGCAGCAGTCCAAATAGGGATGAGGGGAAAATGCGAGAGATACATTACAAGCAGCAAAAGTGCCGAAGATGATCCATGGAGCTCGGAGGTTGCAGAGGTTACGGAGGTGGGGTTGAAAGTCCAAGGAATATTGGCAATGGTGTTTATGTAGTATGAAGTCACCAATGCAATGGACTAAGGCCAAGGTGGAGTCAAAGTCCGAGGTAGGAGCTATGACGGAGGCTCAGAGCAAAGGTACGAGCGGTGTCCGAGTACGAGGTATGGGACAGCAGCAGAAGGTCGTAACTTGGCAGGAGGTTGGCAGAAGAGGACCAGAGGGAAGAGAGAGGAAAGAGGAAAGAGGGAAGGAGTGGTGGAGAGGAAAGTTGTCAGGTCCGAAGGTGAGTATCGGAGCAGACAGAAGAAGAGTAGGAGGATGACGGAAGGGTGGTGTCAGGGATGCATCCGGGGTAGAGGAGGCCCGGGTGAGACGCCCAACACTAGAAGCCTCACAGGGTGTGGAGCGGGCATGCGTTGTTGTGGGGACAAGTCCGTGCAGGTCAAACCAACCCTTATCACACATTTCACCCCTTACTGCATCAGGGACTAGGATTGGTGAGTCGTGGTAATAGTAGGAGTTGTAGAGACTGTGGAGGTGGTTCTGACGAGCCCAAGATTGTTGGATTTGGTGGAGTAGTTGAGGAGATCTGACATTTTCTTTATTTTCTTTACTATTTTCATTCATTCACGCATGTGACTTTCCTTTTATATTTGTATCGGACTCTTCCGTGACAACTGTACAGACAGTTAGTTAGAGGTTAGACAGAGTATCAGCACTGTACTCGCAGGACCATCTACCCTAGAGATAGAGAGAGATACCTACCCCCCCAGGCCTGGGTTGCGAGTCTAGATTGATAGACCCGTTACAGCGTACTGGCGGGCCCGGCTCAGGAGGCAGTCCCTGGCCACTTAGACTGAAGTGGAAAAGGGTGTTATTATTATTAAAAGGGAATACTATGTTACTTACCTGAAGTGGAAAAGGGTGAGAAGAAGGCTACTTCTTC